AAGATACAAGAGCAAGATTCCACGAATTTTGTGAATGTCTCAACCATAATAGGAAAAGAGATAGCGAGTGTATCTCACTCAAAAACTTCTATAAAACCATCAGAAGGAAACTTTATCGAACTCAAAGCCAAGTCATTAAATTGCAAGGAAGTTCAGACTACACAAAATAAAAATATAGCTATCCCTAAATCCAAAACAGAATCTATAAGCAAAAAGGTTTGTAATAAAAATTCAAAGAATAATTCTAAATCTACCGAAAATATTCCTAAATCCATTATTAATTCCCATACAAATAAATAATAATTTAATTATAATAAGCTGTGAAACTACTCATTCTGAAAAGGTAGAGAAAAATCAATGTGTTGTGAATAAAGTAAATAAAGAAGAAAAAAGGGTAACTAAGGAAAAGGATTCTAAACATTTTCAAGCTGAAGAAACGCAAGTTCAACGGGCTCAAAGAAATCAAAAGGAAGAAAAGATGGAATCACCAGTCGAAGATATATATAAAAACTTGAATAAATACACTAGCCATTGGATCATAATTGGATTAAAAATACTTCATTGGTTACTACATCTAATATTTGACGTAGATAACATGAGTGCTGATCTTATGATTCCTCCTGGAAAATATAGATAGTATCACACTATACTATATGCAAAATATTTTTGGGTTAATATAGCTATGGCATTTTCAAAAATTCGTATTTTGAATGCTATTGGCAAGCAATTGGATAATTGGCTTGGTGATAGTAAACTTGCGCCTTGGTGCAAAATAAAAACTAAAATGGAGAAAAGGAAGAAAATAATAATTGGATACATGGTAATCTTAAAGCCAATATTGCAAAGTTTAGTAGCTTGCAAGGAAAACGAATATGTACTAACAATTCAAGATTTACACGAAGGAACGAAATTCTCCCTGCACGAATTAAACCTTGAGCGCTTGGCGAGAGAACCCACTGGTGAAGTAATAATCGAAAAGGACATGGAACCAACGTACACAGAATATTTCAGAGAACTGTTTGATAAAATCGACACTGTGCAGCAAATGGCAAGAGAAAATTCGATGATATCCAAGTTAAAGTCAAAAGAGTACTACGACAGACGAATCAACCCGCAAAATTTCAAAGTAGGAGATCTAGTATATTCAATAAAGGAACCTAGCAAAGAAAAATTTTCTAATCAATATATAGGACCGCATAAAGTGTTAGAAATTTTAAAGAATCAAAACGTCAAGATCGAAGTGAAAGAGATTCCACGAACAGTGCACTTGAGCAAGTTGAAACTAACGCATAACCGAAATAAACAATAAACGAACCGATTTCAGAAGGCAACATAGTGCAATAGTGTGTAGTTTAGTGCTGCTTGTCGAATACTGCAGATAGTGGTAACCTAAAAGGAAAAAGGAAAATTACTATGCGTGCTCTAACTATTACTTAAATATAAAATGTGTCATTCAATAAAATAATTACAAAACAGTGGAAGCGAAAAATACCTCGTGAACAATTACTTATCATAGAAGGAAGTGTATGTGCGAAGACAGGTTACGTATCCATATCCGTAGAATATATAATGTATGACAGCCAGCTGAAACAAATGTAGGAATTAACTCCAATCGTTCCGATACAAAACATAATATTACTAAATGTTTTGCCTAAACCAAAGGAAGTGTGACAGTGCTTATCGAATCATGCAGATAGTAGAAACGTAAAAGAAAAAGGAAAATTACTATGTGTGTGTTCTAACGATTATTTAAATACACAACACGTTAATTCAATAAAATAATTAAAAGCAGTGAAAGTTAAAAGCACCTAGTGCACAATTAATCATCGTAGAAGGAAGCGTACATGCAGGAATTTCGCAGAAACAAGTTGTGGACCCACTCTGTAGAACATAGTATAAGACTGTCAGCAGAAACGAATGAATAAACTAACCTCAATTGCCTTAATATATATGGAAGAAAATAATACTATTAAAGATTTACAATTATATTTCAATTAAACTAAATGAAGCATGATAACAATCAATAATTGATGCTCGACAACAGACTTACAGGGTCAATGGAAAATAAAACTGAAAAACCAAGAAAATTAGTGACATTATAACGAAATTTCTCAACATTGACGCAGCAGTCTTTAATAAGAAGAAGTAAATTCAATCAATGAGTGTAGAAAGAGGTTAAGAAATAACTAAGATAGGTTAAGTGAATGTCAAAAATAAGTCATTACTCACATCGAAGACATTTACACAAGAGTCAACGCAGTTATGAGAAATCAACTACCAAATTGAAGTAAATGTATATGAAGAATCGAAGCAGATGTTACTGGAATGTTCAAGACGACATGAAAAAACTGGAAAATCAAGAAAAGTAGCAACATTATAACAAAATAACTCAACATTGACACAACAATCTTCAATAAGAAGAATTATTTTATACTGATTTTATAATCAGTTAATAAGTGTAGAAAGAGGTTATAAAATAATTAAGATAGGTTAACCGAATGTCAATAATAAATATGATTATAATAAGAAGGTATTATACTATATTAACTTATGTAATATTGTTAAATTATTGTATTTGACATATGAAATAAATTCTATAATACAAACAGCGATCGTTAATACAATATAATACAATACGTATTGATTTAAATAAAATAAATAACATTTTTAATACCTACAAATGTAGAATAAATAAAAGTACTCGTAATAAGTGTCGAGAGCATAACGAGGAACCGGGTGATGCCAAGTGCATGCTGTGCAGGTGTCTTGTATGAGGGACGCAGTATGTAGACGTGGAGAGTAAAGATGAAGTAGCTACAAACAGTAATAATGTAGTGAACAAGTTCTAACCTACAAGATATGGATTAGCTTCGATTTATATTACACAATTATGACGTAATAAACAATTAATAAGAAGAAATAAAATAGCTGACAAGTATAGAAAGAGGTTAGGAAGTAATTAAGATAGGTTAATTTGAAGTTAATAATAAATATAACCAGAATAGAAGGATGTATATTGTACTAACCTACGTAATATTGTTATATTATTATATCTGACATATAGAAACAGACTTTGTAATGCACAATAGCGGTCTCTCACACAATGCATTAAGCACATATAAAATTAAATGAATTAAACGATACTTTTATACTCACAAATATAGAATGAACAAAAGCACCCATAGTAAGTATTTAGAATATAAGGAACAACCAGACGATGCCAAATACTCACTATGTAAATGTTTTAAGCAAGCGATGCAGCATCGAAGGAATAGAACCTAAAGAATTACAAACAATAATAATTCAATAAACAAATTCTAATCAACAATATATGGATTAACTTAAAGATTATACTACACATGAAATAACAACAAATAACAAGTACGAAGCAACGACAAATTAATAGGAAAGAAATAAAAACAGAAATAGGTTAGAAATTAATCGAGATAGATTAACTGAATATTAACGACTAAACATAATTAAATTAGAAATTATTATATTGTGTTGAGCTGTTATAATATTATTATACTAACTTGGTATAAAGAAATAAAATTATACTACACAAAAGTGGTAACAAGGTGGTAACACATTATGCACATATTAAAACTAAATCAATCAAGCAAACGCTCTATAAAAATAAACCACCGAAAACAAAGCAGTCAAAGAATGCTATTAATAAATTATAAATTTCAACAGCAATACAATCCACATGCAATTACGATAAAATAAATATTACAACAAACACAAAACAATGTTGAATGAAGTAATTGTCATGGGACAGTATGTCATATACTAGGGACATTCACAAGCGGCCATTTTGGAAAATCAACATGTGCATATAGTGACTTTTATGCGTTACAAAATAAATTATATTTCCGATGAAGAAATAAATATTTAATAGATGATAATACAACTGGGAAACCGTAACGAAGAAAGAATAAATAATAATTAATACAATATAACACATTATTATAAATATTATAAATATTATATATTATATGTCGGAGATGAAAGGACATCGGAACCTTTGGAACTTCGGGAAAATCCCTTAACACCGTAATCTAGATTCTATCATAGGCGTAATTAAACAATTGTCGTCTTTTGATCCGATTGTATTTGTTTGAGATTTATGATAATGAGCTTGGGCTCGAGGCGACAGCCAGTCGCCGAACGTAGCCGCGGTCACGGGATGAACGCTTTGTCTAACAAAGATATAGAGTAATTCTATAGCTCTCCTTAAAAGAAATATTTGTGGCGGCACGCGACAGTAAATATTTTAACGGTTTCTGTCCCGTGGCTCGCCACACGCAGACCCTATACTTCGAGTAAGATGATTGCCAGATGTCGATGCGTCTCCGCAGTACACGTTCGGCTAGCCCGAGGGCCCGTTATAAATCTTAAGGTTTAGTCA